TAATAATAATAAATACTTAACTTAAGCTTTATAAAAAGTAAAAGCTTAAATTAAAAGCTTATATTAGGTATTTTATAAGCTATTAATTTTTAAATATTTATAAAATATAAGTTTTATATAAGAATAAAATTATTTTAATTTAAGATATTATTTTTAATAAGTTTAGCTTTTTTAAGAATAAAATAGCTTATTTTAAACTAAAATAATTTATAAGTTAATTATTAAAAAAAATTAAAATCCTAAAAAAATAATAAGCTATAAAATTTATACTTAAATAAAAAATACTTAATAATTCTAATAAATTAAATAAAAAAATTCTAAATAAAATTATTATAAATATAAAAATATAAGTATATAGGATAAATTAAATTATAAAAATAATAAAAATATATATAAAAAGTTAAAAAAGCTAGGTTATATAACGCTATTATTAATAGACCTAAACCTTAAAGAAAGCCTAAAAGTAATATTTATAGCTAATTTTCTAATTCGCTACTAATCTGGCTATTCTAAGAGGGTAAATACTAAAGGCTATAACCTAAACTATTATAATTATAAAGTTAAGCAGGTTAGTATTAATTATTAATTCCACGAATTCTATTTAATTTAAATTAAAATAGTAGTTTATAGCGTATTTAATACTAAGATTAAGTTTTAATTATATAAGAAAAATTTATTAAAAGCTTTAAAAACTATAAAAAACCTTTAAAAATACCTATTCTAGAATAAATTTATTAAGGTATAATAAAAGTACCTTACTTTATATAGCCAGATAAATTCTTTTATTAAGGTTTCTTAATTATAAGCTAAAAAGTAAAGAGTTCTTAGTTATATATAGGTATTTACTTATAAGACAAATAAGCACAGCTATCTCTAGAAATATAAGGCGCGGCTTATTATATACAGGAACTAGTAAGAAAAGAATACTCTCTTAACTTATATAATAATACTAGCTAGTATATTATTCTAAGCGCTAATAGTAATAACTGCTAAATATAATCTTAAACTAGAATAAATAGATGCTATTAATATATTTATAAATTATAAATTAAATAAAGTTATCTATATATAAATACTACTAGATTATAAGAAATACAGCAAAGTATTACAGCTAAAAAAAGCACTTTACGGCTTATAAAGGTTACTATTATTATAGCAAAGGGTATTAATAAAGAGCTTATAAGAATTAGGTTTTTATCCTATTTTATAGGAGCTATATATTATAACTAAAAACTTTATAATAGTATTTTTCTTTATTAATAATATTATTTAAGTATATAAGAAAGCTAATAAAAAATTACTAAGAAAACTATAAAAAGCTTAAAGCTTTAATATAAAATAATATAATTAGGTAAGTTAAAGTAGTTTCTTAGTATTTATATTTTAAGAAATAAGTAAAATAAAATAATTTAATTAACTTAAAATACTTATATTAATAAAATAATATATAAGTTTTTTATTTAATTAAATAATAAGCTATTATT